GCTATTGCATAGTAATAGTTACAATATGGAATATGGAATACTTGATTTTTTTCTAGCTGACTGGGCTATTTACTTTCGTTCTCAGTAAGATCTTATCACATGGCAGCTCTATTTCATATACGCTTTCAATCTGTGGCTGCACATAGATCCTCCAGAGAACTGCCATTTACTATACACGCAAAGGATGGAGCAAACTAAGAAAGATGATGTCCATTGAAGCTGCCAACACTGAAAAATAGTCATCCTTCTTCAAAGGTAATATTAAAACTTCACTTCCTGTAGCTTATGATCATACACAATAGTTGAGTAAAACGTAAGATCTTTCTTCTGACGGTAGCAGCATTCAGAGAAAAGTACATGCTTGATGACTTGCTGCAGACAGTCTTATTCCAGTCCCTTCTAAGAGTGGATAATTTCATTAAGTGATTACTGCTTACATACCCAATTAAGAAGAGAGAAAATATGGACCAACATGCTTTAAGGGCTTTATATATGAAAAAGAAGATCTTGGAGTTAATATGACATATGACAAGCAATTAATGTAACCAGGCCATGACTAGAATTCTAGCTTATGAGAACTTAAAAAAAAAAAAAAAAGCCAATCTAAGCAGCAACATTTTCTATGGACACTATATTCTGTCAAAATGGAGCAAACTAATCACAAACATTGGCCGATAATTTTTGAATATAAACCAGCTTCTCTAAAGCAAATGTTGAGAATTTAAAATGATGCAGTAAACGTAGCCCAGAACATGCTTCTCGAGATTTTAAATATGAGAGCCTCTGAACTATAAACTAGAGTTGGTGACTGAACAGAGATACGATCAGTAATAGCTCCTTTTCCAGTAACTTGTAAAAATAATCCAGACAGCCAAGCTTTAGAAAAACTGGGCAATAATAGGTCTGGAAGAACCAATTAATTTTTTTTTTTTTTTTTAAAAAAAAGGAAAATAAGATAACATTAGCATTATTCATGCCCAGGTGATCAGCTCAAAAGGATATCTTAAAAGTCTATCAACTTCAGCAATACTTGTTTATTTCTCTAGAAGAGTAAAAAGAAAATGGATTTTTTCCCCTGCCCCCCTATTCACAACTCCCATTATATCTTCCTTAACATTTTATATCTCACAGTATTTGTCTTTCCAATTGACTACTATGACCCCTAACCAGATGCCTAAGAAACTGTTATTTACATCTATTCAGAATCCTTACATAGCAGCATTACAAAGGATCAATTTAATGAGTATATTATCTGCCTATTCAGATACAAAAATATTTTTTGTAATTTATTTAGATACTTGCCCCAAACAGTGCACACTAGTATCTATATGCAGAAAATCACTGCTAATTTTAAAAATACTTCAGGAAACATGGTCTATCTGCTATGTTGCCAGTTTTTAGTAGCAAATTATGAAAAGGAAGGACACAAGAACCATAATGAACTATTGCAATTCATAAAGAAAACTATGTCCTATGATGATAAGTATCACAGCAAGGTATATAATTAAGAGTGGCTATAACAACAACATATAAATTAGATAATTATGGATTAAGCAATCCCTTGGGGATTCTCTCTTGCCCTAGAAAACGTATAACAAGCTCCTTAGATAGAAGGCAATAGCTATTACGTATCTGAGGGAGAAAAAGAACTATAAAGAAAGAGAAAAAAGAACACACAGCAAGAGAAAAATCAAATTTACAATCTAAAGATGTCTCTCATTTTTGGTAGTTTATCTCAATACACTTACTGGTACAGTTTTCACCCATTAAATCTGCTGACATCTGTTGGCTAAAGAGCACATGTCAGATTATCAAGAAGTTCAATATCAAATAAACACAAGCTGCTTCTTAAGGTGATAGTAGGGAGATACAAAACACTGCAGCTATTACCAGAAATGTAGGTTTTTTTGTTGTTGTTTCTTACATCAGTTTAATAATCCCAGGTGTCCTGGACACTAGACATACAATAATCTTCATAAATCCTAATTCACAGCCATACCATCTGTCAAAAATATTTTTTATGTCTCCTAATAGATATGCTACATAATTGCTCTCACAGTAGGACAAAAATACATGGTTGCACTAATTTGCTTTACCAGTGGAATAGCTCATTATCAAAAATAACTCCACCACATTAGTAGGGTTTCTAGCACTCTTCATATATCAAAACCAACCTTTCCATTCTCTTATTTTCTATAAGCTTAAATTCCCAGTGAAAGCAGATAAAGATTGAATTATCTGGGAATTGTACTACAATAACAGAAAACTCACAAGCATGAAAGAATAGAACCGTAATATCTCTTTCTATTACGGTGGTGTTGCAGTTAAAATTAGAAGCTTTGTATTTCACAGTCACAGAGAGACTAATTTAAGTTCTCAGCCCTGCAGAGCACTAAGCATTTTGGCCCCAATCCAGAAAAGCACTTAAATGTGCATATGACTTTTAGTTCATGAGCCTGAAGCGACTTCAGTGGGATCATACGTGCTTGATAAGGCCCAGAGCACTCATTACCCTGCCGGACGGCACAACTCCCTTGGACTGACTCGGCACCGGGAGATGACCCTCCCAAACCTCCATCTGTACTCGTGGAGATGGGGAGGATACTCCACATTGGACTGTTGAAAGCAGGAGCTTCTGTTCTGACTCTCTGCAGCAAAAGACGAAATGT